CCGGGCACATAGTATGTAACTGATGAACAGTATCTAAAGCTACTGAATTATTATCAGCTTTTACTTACTTCTCTGATCCCATCTCCTACCACTTTCCCCACATTCACTGAGCACCAGCCACACATGGCAAGCTCATTTCTGCCTCAGAGTCTTTGCATTTGCTGTTCCCTTTGCCTGACCGTATTCCCCTGGATCAACACATGACTGACGTCTCTTCAGAATTCTTGTCCCAGATCACAGGGTTGCCCTCCTCCTTGAAGCTTTCCCTGACTATCCCAAATAACATACACACTCCTGCCCCACCTCTGTTCATTATGTTCTTTATGGCACTTGTAAGTATCTAAACTCGTCTAATTCATGTATATATGTCTCCTTGCTTTATTTTCTGGCTCCCAATGAGAGAGCCAGATTGTCAGTATTATTTATTACTGGGCCTCTGGCAACAGACCCTGGCACATAGTAGGTGTTCCAAAAATCTCTGTTTCTCTGAACATCGTGGTGCTGTTGACAGAATCAAACTATAGAACACACAGAAACCACCAGCACATAGTGAGCACTAAGTCAATGTTGTTCCTCTCCCTTGCTTGGGTCCAGAGAATGGCTGCTCCAAAGTGAAGGAAGACAATTTAGAAGGAAAGCAAGAAAGGGGACAGTTGTCAGGCTCAGTTAGTTGGGTTTCAATGGTCTAGTTCTCCGCCTGGACACCGCAGATTCTTCACAGTGGAGGAAGGCTCAGGTTGTCATTCCAGGATGGAAGTTTCACGAGACGGGGCACTTTCTATATGGAGGAAGAACTTTTGTAAATAAGTGGACAGGGTTGTGATTCTGAAGAAAGTCATCTGGAGAAACAGCTCACAGGAGTCCTATGAATGCTTTAGAAAAACTAAGGAGGGAGAAACCCAGCAGCATCACGGACTTTTGGAGGAGAGTGCCTGGTCCAGCTGCTTAGGGTTTCAGACGGCCAAGAAGGCTCCTCCCAGGGATGGATTACAATGAGGAAGATGGAGGATCCACATCTACCTGTTCCCCATCCTATTTTGACTTATGTGCAATGGGGTTCCAGGTAAATTTGTGTATGAGGAAAAGATTCTGAAGTGAAAATCTAATTCTCATCCACTCCTTGCATTTTATATTTGAGACGATGGAGGCCCCGAGGGGGTTGAACAGAAGGGCTAAGACAAGTATCCTGTCCCTGCGTGCCCATGGGTGTCTTTCCATTGCCCCAAACTCAGAAGAGGTAGGGCCTGGATTTCATTGACATGTACTCTGGGCCTAACATCGCAGGGGCTCCAAGGCAAGGGAGCTGGACTCCAGGCTCCTGAGTGGTTCATGACATCAAAAAAGGTTTCAGCAAGGAGGCACATGCTTAATAACCTCAACCCAAGACCTCTGGATATACAGCTGCCATGCTGCCTTGAATGGCTCCTTCGTGTGTACCTGAGAGTGGCTGGGCCAGACCCTTCCTCATCCTCTGCTCTTGAGATGACCAAGTCAGAGAGATCTATCCTAGGGCTTGAGGCCCTGACGAAGGTGGCAGGCAGACAGGTAGAATCACATTATGTAGGGGTCCTGGGCTTCTGACTTTACCTCGAGGAGAACCTGATACTGGAGACAGGAAATTCTCCAGCTTACGGAGAAGCTCTACAGAACCGAGGCATGGGATCGACTTCGGCATTTTATTGTGTATTCAAAATTCAGTTATTAGTTTTAAGACAAGATTTCTCTCAATATATAATTTATATAAACATGTACAGAATGCACAAAGATAAACATATGTGTAATTTACCAATGTTTATCAATAAATAGAATTTATCAATTAAAAAAACAAGTCTATGTAGGCTCCTGTTTTTCTCAGAACACATTCCTGGGAACTGCATCAAGAAGTAGATCAGAAAACCAAGGGTGCTTTCCACAGAAGCAAATTAGGACCGGGGATCCAAGCAGTTTCAAAGCTTTAGCCTCAAATAAATCATAGGCATAACTAACAATTTCATAAAACCAAAGATACAACCATCATTAGAATCTGTAATCCTTTGAAATTATATAATTAAGTTCCATGTTCTATAGAATGGGCACATATGTACTTTATATGTCAATTACACAAGGGGACTCAGCATTATAAATGGTATGAGTGGTCCCCCACTTGTAATTCTACTTCATTAAAAATGTAAAATGAAATTAAGGTGGTAGCTAAACAACATTAAACCATAATTAACAATCGTTTACACAGACTATCAGATTAGAAAAAAAAATCTCAAAATTATCTGGTGCAGTATCTAATTAGACTCTATGTAACATTCTTGTCAGCTGGTCATTCATAATCTGGCCCATGTTTGAGGGTTTTTTTTTTAATAGAATTTATACATATATAAAATTTACAGGGTAGGGATAATTTCAATGACTCAGGTCTTTTTTCTCCAAATAAATGTTTTCATGGCAAAAAGGCATTTGAATTTATGCCATGAGACTGAAGTTACATGAAAAGTTAGGCTCATTCTTCCCCAAAATTAGCCTGTAGTCCCCATCTCTCTGCACCCACTCCTTTACCTTGAGAACACAAAATCTCTTCAAATGAGAGTGTCTGTGACGTATAAATTTGCAATGTTGGTGTGTGTTGGGCAACTTGGAGTAACTGAATGAGGAGGGGTGGATTTGGAGGAATGGAACCAGAAAAGGTGTTCCCTTGGTATTGTTTTCAATAAAGAAATCTCATTCTCTAAATTGGTTTACCTCTTGATGAAGAGATTCTTAGTCCTTGAGAGCTCAGGAGCATCTAAAGTAATCCAAAGTAATAATAAACATACAAAATGGCATTTTATGATTTACACAATGTTTTCACAATAATTATCTTATTTATCCCCACAAGAACTTTGTGAAGTAGGCAGGAGAGATTTTCTGAGGCCAGAGAGGTTTAGGTATTAGCTCAGGGTCACACAGTAAGTCAGCAATTGATTCAGTGCACGTGCTGCTTCTCGACAACATCCATCTTTCTCGTGTGCTCACGGAGGCGGTGAGCAGCGTGTGCAGTGGCAGTCAGAGTAGACAGTTTGGGTCTCATCACTAGGATCGAGGCCTTGGGACTCAGAATTTTGATGCTCCCTCCTTTATATTAGAAAAGGACCATCCTCAAAATGGTGGTTTTCTTCTAAGCCCCCATCTAGTAATGGCACAGGAACAGCGACTTGAAAAAGCAAAGGGGATTGGTCTAACCAGAGTCAAAATGCAAGTTAGGATATAAATACACTTTCTTCATATCTGATGAGAATAGATGCCCAGTTGAATCTGCTCCACTGATCAGAGAGTCCCGGTCTACACGAGGAGCATTTCAGCCTGCTGGTCCAATATTTCTCAACAGCATTCAGGAGTTCTAAGTAACATTCCTCTCTAGAGGCTTTTTCGCTTCCCTAAGTCATGATTTCTCCCCAGCAAAATTAAGCCTTCACAGGAAAGAGAAATTTTTTTTTTTTTTTTTTTGGCATTTGGATGATTTAGGGCAATCTTCTCTTCCTCATTCCAAAGTCTCTTTCCTGCCCAATTCAATTCCAGAACTAAAGTAAACATCAATGGAAATTATAATTGACACTTCTTAAGCTGCAAGAAAAAAGAGTATGATAAAGTCCTGAGATGCGATCAAATCACAGCCAAGATCAAAGTTAAAACTTTACACGGCTCTGGGACGTGGTGGCGTTTACCTCCCTGGGACCTTCATTCTGGGGCAGTTGGCAAGAGCCATGGACTCAGCTTAGAATGAGACATCCAGGTCATCTGAAGGGCAAAGCTGGCAAGGTCAAGGGTCTAGATAGCCCAAATGAGGCGGCTAGTTCCTTTGAAACAAAGTCAAAAAGCAGGAAGGCCATGGCTTTTCGAGGTAGCTGATGGCTGTAGCAGCATCCCGTTGTCCTAGAAACGAAGAGGAACCTTAGAGACCCCATAGTCCAAGCTTCAGTTGACAGATGGAGAAAGCGAAGACCAGGGATGGAAGGGCTTGGGTCAAGAGCTGACAGCATGTTAGGAGCACAGCAGGGCTGGAATTCCGGTCCCCTGACTTCAAATCAAGCACTGCTTTCCCACTCCTAGCCCTGCTTGGTCCTGCCTGCTCCACCTGGGGACTGCAGTGACAAGTCTTGGCAGTGTGAGCTTCCAATGGTTCCCTCCTTTGGGAGCAACAAGGCCAGATTCAAGGGTTATAAATTGATACCTTGGGCTTCACCACAAGCTCACAGGAAAGATTCCAGTCTTTTAATAAACACGACGATGCCGCCGGCCCTGTCCAAGGCTTTTTAGGAGAAGATGCTGTTCTAGTCCAAGAGGAAAGTGAGCATCTCAGAGCAGAAGGGCCTGAGGCCACGGCACTAAGGGGAAGCTACCTGTCCCTGGCTTCCCTCCAAGGTTGCTGTGGAGATTGTTTTCCTCTGAAAGATCTTTGCCCCCGTTTCTTCCATGGTAAATAAATGGAGCATGTCCTGAAGAGAAAGACTGACCATGGACATAAGGAAGAGCAAGTGGAAGCCTGTGACTGACACGGGGGCTGGCCAGGAGGATGCACATTTGGACCCAGACACAGGGAGGAAAGAGTATTAGTGTCTGGCACAGAACAGGACGGAGACAAGACAGTGAGTAGTTTGAACGTGGTTGTGATGGACGTGAACAAGCAAGGAATGTGTGCTTTTGAAATACGACTCTGACCAAGAAAGGCATGGGCAGGATGTGTTTTGACAATGTCTATGAGTAGACACAGCAAAGAAGGCATATTTGGAGACATCCACAACTCTGATAGGACACAGTGAGTGATCATGTTTGGAACATGAGTGAGACAAACCAGGCACAGTAAGGGGACACATTGGGGACAACAGAGAGTGTGAGACGCCAGGAAGAGGGAGTGCTGGGAAATGAAAAGATCCCTTCATGGGGGATCTCTGGAGAAGAGCCCCCAGTGAACAAGCTGGCGTCCTGTCCCCTGACTCCTTTGAATGACACCTGCTGGAATCCCGGAGCAAAACCCCGCTGGGCATGGGGTGCTTGCACGGATGGACGGAATGCTCGGGTGAAGAGAACACCGGGTGTAGTCACGCACAAGCAGCAGCTTAGGACCTGGCCCTCTCTTGGAGGCATGGCTGTCTTCTGAGTCACTGCCCCAGGGGCCTAAGTGTCCCTGGGCTGAGCTGCCACCAAAGGAGAAGTTGCTGGGGGGTGGCACTGACTCTCCCATTGGCCACCACACTCCACTGCATCCCTGGAGAGGGGAGAAGATCACAGAACCTCAGAGTTGCAATGGACATCACAGGCGATCTCCTGAAAGAGCCCACCCAGCGCCAGAAAGCCCCTTGTGCCATGCAGATGGGGGGTTGATTAGCCCCTACTTAGGAACCTCCAGTGGCCTGCCAGGAAAAGCTTATTAATGTTCAGCCAAAATCTGCCTTTCTACAACTTCAACCCAGTGGAACTACTTTGCCCTCCAGGCCCACTCAAGATTCTTCCCTCTACTAATTATATCCTCCAAGTTTTATCTTCTCCAGGCTACATAGTCTCATTTTCTGTAATAGTTCATTATATATTATGATTTCCAGACTATTGCCCATAATGGGCACTGTCCTCTGAAAACCATCCTTCTCATGATTCTCTTTCTTGAAATACGGTACCAAGAAAGAGCACAAACCTTCACAGTGAGCCTGACTTATGTCATGTACTTTCATCCTCAATTTAATTTACTTCTATGAATGTGTTTAACATTTAGTTCATGTCTGACAATGGTGATATGCTATTGGCTTATATTGAGTCTGTTGCCAACTTTTATCTTTTTGACACAAACAGCTGTCAATTCCTGTGCTACTCTATTACATTGGTGCAGTTTAATTAATTAATCTACTTATTTATTTGAGCTGAAATATAGGACATTATATTTGTCTCAGTTAAATTTAATCTTATTGGTATCATTTTAGTCAATTGCAATCATTCTAAATCATAACAATTTCCTCATTCAAGATATGATTATTTAGCATCGACTCAAAATAGACTCTAAGGATTTTACAAGCACAGAGGAAGATCAGATCATCCATTGCTACCTAGAGCTTTAAGTTTAGTGTCATCTGTCTTTTAGGTTGTCAGTTAAGGTAAAAAACTCTTGATCAGGACAGGGCTAAAACAGAATTGTGGGATAGCACCACAGACCGCCTTCCCAGCAGGTAGATAACACCTGGTGTGTCTGAGAATGGACCCACCCGTGGAAGGCTTTGTCCAAAGCCTTGCTGAAATGTCTCTGCTGGGCAGTAAATCTGTCCCAATAGGTAATGAAATTAGTTGGCACAAATTATTTTTTAATGAAACAGCACTGACTCTTGCTCATAAATAAACTGTGTATTAACTGTCTTAGAATTTAGGTAAGGTCTATTTCAAGCTATGAGTCTATAGTTTCTGGAGATTTCTGGAGTCTAGCTTTAGCCTTATCTTTAAGAACTGGGGCAATATTTACTGGTCTCCAGGCTGCCAGTTCTCAAAAGAGCACCAGTCAGAGATCTTATCAACCCAGTTCCTTTAATTCCCTGAGATATAATACATCTTGGCTCAGAGACAGTTAAAAGTTTTCCATTAATCCCGGATACCAACTTTCTCCCTATAATATTCTCTTCTTTCCAGTTGGAAGACTATTCTTATTGCAGCAGAATATGCAAGATTTCTTCCCTCACTATTGAGATCTAACTATATCTCGGTTTGCTACTTGCTCTGAACATAGCTTCTGATTCATCCTTGGTTATACCTTCCTTCTTCCAGCTTTTCCATATGCCATTTTCAAGTGTAAGCTCTCTAGATAACTCAAGATGTGGCCTCATGTCTTTACATGCCTCACTCTAGCCCCCTTTTTTATCTGTCTTATTTATTGAACATATCTATTTAAAAGAAAAAAAAAGAATGAATAGAAAGGAAGGAAGGAAGGAAGGAGGGAGGGGAAGGAAGAAGAAAGGATTTCTCATTTTTCATTGGCCAGATTCCCTTTATATCATTATTATTATCATTACTGGCAACAATAAAAACAACCACCCATTAGGACAGCACACACGTGCCAGCTGGGCTAAGTGTGTTACATGCATTAATTCACATATTTTTCTCCCACTTACCAGACAAGGAAACTGAGTTTAAATAATTTGCCCAGGTTTACTCTGTTAATAAATGGTGGGATCAGACCATACACTTAGTCCATTTTTGAAACCAAACCCTATGATCTTAATTGTCCTGATATTTTGTCACTTGTCATCTTGAGAACTACCACTGCTAAGTCCAGTGTTCAGGTGCTGCTGTCTCTAGCATTTCTTTGTCCCACTATGATGAACTCAAGGGCGAAAGGAACGTGTACAAGGGTGCATGTTATATCTGTTCCACCTATGGGAATCCTACAGTGTGATGTGGCTCCTCCATTTATTGAAACAGTGTGACAAGGACGTTAACACAGGACTCTTCCCTGCTAACCCTTCCTGCTCACTAAAGGAGAATCTTTGCCAAGTGGCATGTATATTTTCTGTGACGCAGAACTGGAGAGACTAGGTGGAAAAGGAAAAGAACCAGCAAAGGCAGGAGGAAAGTGGGGAGGACACAGAGAAAGGGGCTAGGTATATAAACGTGGCCAAAAATGAGGAGGGAGGATGGAAGAAAAGGCAGGAAGACCCAGGCTAAAGACAGCCACAGAGGTGGGAGTGTGGAAGGCTCCAGAGCAGCTGGAGAGAATAGAGGAGGGTCTTTGAGAAGCATTTCCAAAAGGTTCTATTGGCTCTCTCCTATCGTCCTCCCAGAGATCCAAATAAAGCTTGAGACTGCTGTGCAGCTGCTATTGGATGCCTGGTGCCACTCCCTTTCATTCAGGCCACATCAATACAGCCCTTGCCAAGAGAGGAGCTGTGGGGAAAGGAAAATGGCCCAGCCTCTAACTCCATGAAGGACTCACAACCAGCTGCCTCTTGGCAGAGGAAATGGGGACTTGAGAATACTGACAGGGTGACCCTGTGTCCCAGCTGGCCTGTGTAAGTCTCAATTTACAGTATTGTACTTATTGAGTTGCTACCAGTTTACCATTTAATGTCATCTGCCTTTTAGGTCTACATTCAAGATACAAAATTATGGTGCAACATGCTGCACCCCAAGAGACCTCCTTCCAGTGCAATACATCACACTCAACGCACATGGTTTTTACACTCAGTGAGCCCCTTTCACTTTCAGCTACGAGGTCACCCTACTAACTCAGCAGAGGAAGCAATAGAGTGTAGCAATGTGAGCCATAAAGCAGAAGACAGGGAGCCAGGTCCTAGTGCTTTCGTAGCCACCATCCGTGCATGCCTCTGATGACTTAGACCTTTTCCTGTGCCTCAGTTTCCCCATTCGTTAAATAAGGAGGAGGATTATCTATAAGATCCTTTGCAGCTCTGCCATTCTGGTTCTATGAGTAGCAGAGATGGTGGGTGACAGATACAGACCTTCTGATTGGGCACCAGCTGCGTGTGGGACTTTCTGCAAAGCTGTGGGTAATTGCTTCGAATCTGGCTTTTAATATTCTATTGTTAGTATCTGATACTTTATATTCCGTGTGGAGGAAAGAGGTTTTGCTGGAAACAAAGTGAGGGTAATTTTTGGATTTGTATTAAAGAATCTGAAAGACCTCAATTTCTGAATCTGTGAAATTACACTCAAAGCTGCTAAATGTATCTGGGCAGGATAAGCTAAGGAGGGGCTGAGATGCCACAACTTAAAATGCAGCGAGATCACAACTGCCTCTCCTCAAACATATGCTTGATCAGAAACATTGGCAGAGCCGCTCAAAATCCCTGATGCAAAACATCATTAAAAAAGAATCTCCGATATTTTAACAGATGAGGTTTTTTTTTTAATGCAGTTTCCTGTTTTAATAGTTTTAGTAAAATCCTCTACAATTTATGAAGCATTTTTGTATCTTTTTCTACATTTAATCGTCAACACAAATCTATACGGCAGAAGGGTACTGAGTATTATTTCAATTTTAGAAGAGGAAGAAGGGCAATGTAGGAGCACGGATTGATCGATGGGCACGGTGGATCCAGTGCTGTAAAACAGGCATTCTCCTTCTCAAACCAGGAGTTCTGTCCTTTGGGAAGCACGGAAATCATTTGCGTAGTAGGAAGAGTTTTGTAATGAAGATTAACATTAACAGTTGATGAAAGAGACAATTACCTGTGTTCTAAGAGAAGAAGGGGAGGAGGAGGAGGAAGAGAAAGAGAGGGAGGAGAAAGAGAAGAGGAGAAAGAGAAGAGGAGAAGAATCATTAGCCAAGTCATATTTCACAAAGTTGTCCAGAGACCATGTGGATCAGAATTATCTTGGGTACCTATAACAAGTGCAGATTCCCAGGATCCACACCAGACCTCTGACAATGGGGTGGGGAGAACAGAAACCTGCATTTTTAGAGAGTGTTCTCAGGTAATGCACACAGGAGTACGGGATTCCCTGAGTAGGTGGAGGTCGAGTTATTCTACTCACATCTGAGGCAGAGCTTAGAGCCGGAGACTTAGAGGGCAGCAAAGAGAAAGTAGTGGCGAGTGGGAAGGGCCAGAGCTAGAAGTATGAGGCATTCAGTGATGCTCCACAAGGGATCAGGATGGAAGCACTGAAGTATAGGCAAACAGCGCATTTTAGCAAAGTAGACAATATTTTTTGGTTTTTATGACACTGACAATGAAGAACTGAGAAAAGACTTGGTGGTGAATCATGAATATGAAAAGGCAAAAAATTTAAGGAGATGCACAAAGCAATAATTTTTAGGTGTTCTTAATGTGATGAAAAAATAGAAAGCTTGGGTACAATTAGCTGATGAAAACTAACTGAATTCTCTATAAACCGTGAGCACATAGACTTGTAGTAAGTTATCAGTAAGTTCAATTACTCAAAAGGAAATGCCCTAGGCCAATTTCTTCATTTATCTTTAGAATCGCTATCCACTAGAATAGAATATTGACTCTTGAAGATTCAGTATTTCCCAAACATGGGATGTGATCTACAGTTGATATGCCAAACAATGGGCACAGGACTAAATAATTTGAATCACAGTAAGGGGATTTGAGATTTCTTGCACTCATTTAGCTTAAAGAGAAAAACTCAGCTTGGCCCCATTCTGGCTTTAACCAAGTGTCTAAACCTAACAAATGGAGAGCAGGCCTTAGGCTCAGAGACTGCAGCAAGCAATGGGACCAAGTTAAATGTTAATAATAATAATTTATA